GCCCGGTCACCAGGCCCGCGGAGGAGGAACCAGCCCAGCGCCCTGCTCCGGTCACCCTGCCCCGGTCACCCTGCCCCGGTCACCCTGCGCGGCTCCCGCTCACGGCCCCAGCCCCTGCTCCCGACCCAGCGGGGCCAGGGGACGCAGAGAGCCTTCCTCTGCAGCTCTAGCTTCGTACTTCATCGCGCTGCCCTTCCGTGGTGTGTCAGATCAGACGGCCACATCATCCAAAGGCGTCACCGCAGGCTATTTTTTATCAGATTATCCAAGGCCAGCACAAAGCACAAGGGCTAGGAAGTTAGCTTTAGGGAACGCAGCATCCGCCACTGCACGCCCCTGTAACGCCAGGCAAACAGACGCAGGGCGTGACTTTCACAGAATCACAGAATGGTCGGGGTTGGAAGGGACCTCTGTGGGTCATCTAGCTGCCGGGGGTGCCCGGCCCACCCGTCCTCATCCGTGAGCAGCAGGGCGGAAGCGGGGTTGGTTCAGGCTTCAAACTCAGCTATCGATTCCTGCCGGCCTCGGATCATCCTCATTAACTTTCATCCTTTTTCCAGAAAATGCACACGCTCAGGGAACCCTGCCCACACTTCACACGCTCGGACAGTGCCCACCCTCGCCACACACCACACGGCCGACGCTCCAGGAGCAGGGTCCACCCGCCCCGGCACGCTCGGACGCCGTGTCGCCTTCGGCGGCAGGGGAACCACCACGAACCACGCTCCAGAAAGGCGGCACTTCCATCACCCCCCCACAACGACCAAGCTCCAAAATTCTCCGTTCTCCTCCACCGCCTCATAACCCAACATCTTAACAGGTTAAAGGAGCTTGTTCTGAATCTCCACAGGCTACCTCTGCTTACCGGATCCCGCATTCGGCTCAGCCCTTACGGTTATCCGTACAAGGCCTCCTCCGCTGGCACACGGCGCGCTCCTTAACTGGGCATTCACACACACAGAAAGTCTCAACGGATGGAACAAACCTTGGCACATTCGCTGCTGGAGAGCCTCTCCCACCCTCTCCCCTCCTCTCCAGCCGAACGCCGACCCCGCAGCTCTACCTCCAGAGCTTGTGGGGGGTTTTGGAGCCAGACACGCGCAGGAGCCCGTTCAGCCGTAACGCACTGCGCAACGCCACGCGCACCGGGCTGCTGGCAGCAGGCGAGGCGAAACGGCAGCTTCTGAACAGCTACACAAAACTAAATGTATTTATGTGTGAGTCTGCGACCCCACGCCCCAGTTACAACACTCGCTTCACAGGGCCTCCACTATCCGCCCTCCGCGATGTCAATTCTTTGGGGCGCAGGTGGCCCCCCCAGCCCTCACAGCCCCGTGCCAAGCTACGTTCCCCAGCGACGGCCGGCGTTGCCCCGCGTCTGCCGG